TTAGGACTGTTCGCTTTAAAAACAAACATGAAAAAAAATTAAAATGAAATTCTGTTTGGTGGTGCGGTGTCTATCGAAACAGATCCGCCACCCCGGACAGGAACGGGAGCACTACTTTCGTCTACGGTCACGTCCAGCGCAAAGCATATTTCTTACACATTCTTTCTATTCTCTCCGTTGTTTTTTTAGGTTTATTCAATAGTTAGAAGTTTAGTTTTTCAACCAATGGGTTTCGGCACAAGTTAGAGAAGATGTTGCTAGTGAAGCTGCCGGCTCGATTCGGAAGCCATTGGGCCGATCGACTGGTCATAGGACGGTGCACCTCCGACGGCCGTTGCTTTGTTATCATAAAGTTATTCTAATGATCCATCATCTGAATATTTGTCAATATGGTTTCATTCTGAAGCTATACGCTCCGTATTTCTATCGGGAGCACTCGGCCCGTGCATATTTACCGCAGGTTTCGACCGTTCCGCAGAGACGCACGGGCACTTGTCGAACAATATAAGAAGTTTCAAATGTTCGGTGGTCAAGTTGAGTTAATCTAATACCACACTGATAATACCAGAGCAGTTCCTTTTTTTCTGGTAGTCCAAATTTTCCGTGAATTCCCGGCCCTCCGTGAAGGATCGCGAGACTCCTTTGTGCCTCGGCAGACTGTAGCTGCTTGCTTCTTCGTCGTCTGCCCCCCCATACACCTTTTTCCGTGCTGTTCGAGTACCCGAACGTCACCTTGCTCTTGAGAAGCAGCCGGACGCTCTCTAAGTGGCTAAGTTCATAATTTTTGGAGATGCACGTTGTTCTCCTTGACGCTGACGCCCCTGTGCAATCGGCTGTTCGGCCAAGGGGGGGGAGCAGAGCTCACAATGATGAATTTTACAGAGGGTCAGGGCGTCGCAAAGCGACGCGATCTCGAAAGGGACTGATGCTACTTGCTGCGTTCGCTGCGCTCTCGGCTGTTATCTTCACTGTCTACACCTGCAGTTTGGCGGTGCGGAGGAGGATACATTCTTCGTCCTTTGTGCGCAGANCAATTTGACGGCTCTCCTTCACCGCACCCGCTCCCCTTTTGGCCGCAGAAGGGTAAGGGCACGGCCCATATGGGGTCCATGAATTCGAGGGACCAAGCCGCAAGTCCATTTGGTAAAGGAATGTGGCTTATCCAACCTACCGAGCACGTCGAGCGCAAGGTGCGGTCAGGGTCAAAGAGGAAGGCTGATGAAGCCTGGAACGAAAATGGGGGTTCGAGCCAGCCTGAGTTTGCACCACCCGCCAAAGGGGGGCCACTGGAACCACCTCCGCCTCTGGATGAGGATACTGATTCGCTTATTGACTCTGTTTTGGCAGCAGGAGAGGCTTCTGTGTTAGGTGCATCGGGCCGAATGGCTTCGGCAGTGCCTTCTCGGGCTGCAGTCACATATTCATATCGTATGCCCGTGTCTTCTGAAAGGACGAATGGGCTGTTTGATAAGCCCGATTTCAATTATAGGACCCCACCCTCGCCTATGGATCCGGATCTCGAATCCTTTATTGACTCCATGCTGGCAGAAGGAGAGGGAGAGCGGCTTGATCCACTGGACCTTGACGACGAGGCTGCGCCGTCTCCGCTGGACCCCGATATCGATCTGCTTATTGAGTCTCTGCTGGCTAAAGAGGAGAAGACACTACTTGGTGACTCTGCCGTTCCTTTGGAGGACCCATTGTCGCCTCTAGATGCCGGCGTTGATGCACTTATTGAGTCTGTGCTGAGCGGAAAGGAGAGTGAGCTACTTGAGGACGCTTGGAGTCTCCTTGAAGAGGATATGGGTTGGGAAGATGAGAGGTCTCCCGCTCCAGTAAGCATGAAACTACCAGTGGGAGCTGGTAACCTCGGTGAGGATTCCGACGCCGCTCTAACTATGGAAATACATTCAGAGACAGCGTCGGGCTCTCCCCATTCAGAAGCTGGGCTTTCGTTAGGCGTTGATCAGTTGGGAAGCCCCAAATATGTTTCATTCCAAGGGGGTGAGGGATTGGCAGTGGAAGATTGGCTTGATGCTGGTCGAGGCGAAGGCGCACCGCAGTCAGTGGATCTATCATCCTCGACCGTGACACATCCTGAGTCGCCGAGTAGAAGGGGAAAACCCATGAAAGAGTTGAGGACCAAGCTCCGTTCACTCCTTCGCGATCGCGCAAGGGCCCGAATGGATCAGGAGTCGCGTTCTACCTCTGGAGCTGCGCACGATCCAACTTCCCCGTCCACGACCAAGGTATACCTCGGAACTGGATCTGTATAAGTGCTTTTGACCAGCAACAGCTCATATTAGCGGTTGTTGCCTTGCCTAGTTCGTGTGTGAGTTGCTCGTTGAATTGTGTGGAGCTCGTATTTTGCAGGGGGCATCGAGTAGAAGATCACCTGATGTTGCCCCTGCTGAGACGCCTGCTTCTCCAGAGGAGGGGCAGACCACAAGACAGTCCGTCGTGGGCAGCGTTGCCTCTTCTTCTGGGGCATTTTCTGCCCCATCTCCATCTTCTGGGCCATCGGCAGCAGCAGTGTCATCAGAGCAAAGCGGAACAAGTGTACAGGTGGGACTTGCTTCTTCTCATGCCAGCGGTGTAGTAACAGTAGTCTTGAATTGCCAGTCCGCTTTTGCATTCCAATCGATGTTTGCTGTTTAAAATAACAGGAAGTTCAGTATCACCATGCAAATGTGGTTGCTGTGTTTTGCTTGATGTAGATGGCATTTGCGCCGCCACCCTACACAGCTCGGAACTTTCTTGGCTGGCTCGATCAGGTATACCCAGAGGTTTCCGACGAAGTGCTCGTAACTCATCCATTTTATCGTTACCCCAAGGACCAAATGAAGCTCAGTATGAAAGAATTTGATCCAAAATTGGCGTCAGCAATGCGTTCACTTAGCTTTGCCCCACATTCCGTGCTCGGCGAATGCAGATATCTACTCAAGAAAAAATGGCTTAACTTGAAGGACTTCGAAGCGCTTATGGCCCATACAGAGCGCCTCTGCGCATATGCTAGTGGTTCCATGCAGGTGGAAATTCGACGTAATCGACCGATGATAGCCGTAGAAACTCTTGGGTCGATATTTCTCGTCCTCGATACGCTTTATTGTTTGACAGAGGTGTTGGGAAGTAATGCTAAGAAGGAAGTATGGTGGCCTTGGATAGTTGACCGTATAAAAAATGTACGGTTCACACCTTATATAGGCTCTCGGGTTAGGAGGCGGTCGAGGGAACTGGACATTGCCCTCTCGCTGAGCTATGCGCTGGATTACTATAGGCAAGGCCAGCGACCCCCTCTGCGTTTGGTGGTTGGCTTAAAGGAGGCCATATTGTGTGCCCCTGGCACGACAAAGTTCAAAAGCTCTACCTGGAATTTCTGGAGGCAAGACGCTATGGAATGGCGCGCCGAGCAATCACTGACCGCCCCAAGCGGGGAACATTCAGAACATTCAGAGCTGCCGTCGACGAGCGGCAGTCAGTGAGGTCGTGCTCAAGTTAAAGAGCATGTTTACTCTCTTGGATCGGATCTTGCGTTTGTAGCGCAGGGGCCGTTGACGCCACATGCGGCTAGCCAGTACCCCGTGAAAGGCAAAAGGTACTCCTAGAGCATTGGTGAATCCGGTGAGCTTGTGTAAGGAATGTGCGGCAGCAGCAGCAACCCATCGTGAAGGGCAGGGCGGAGGAGCAGGTGCTTGATGCAAGCGGGTCCCAATCTGGACCAACCGCGGCGGAGAGCGCTTTATGGAATGAACAAAACACCCTGATGCTGCTGAAGGCTGCTTTAAGTCCAACAATACAATAAGAACTAACGAGCATAGATGGAGGTAACGAAGGATATGTGCATGAGGGAAGACAAATTGTGGATCTGGATTGTCAAGTACGGCAGTCAGAGGATCTCCATGCATAGCAAACAGCACGCAGGAGTATTATTCTGAGCTCCTGTAAACTATTTGAGGTCTGCTGCACTGCCCTATTCACTCGTGCCACAAGTAAACGCACTAGTCGCCCATGCAGGGAAGAAGTGGAGTTACGGGTGTTTCTTTTTTTCTTCGGTGCCTGCGTTATACGCAAGGCGGATTGCCTTTTCCTCTTCACTCGCGGATGCGGCCAGCAACCTTTTGCAGTTCAGCAGCACTAGCGGCTCAAGGCAGAGGCGGCCAGTCGATCCATGGGAAGGATATTAAGAAACTGTTTTGATGTGAGAGCACAATTTGGCGCATTTGCAGCTTAATCAAGGCCTTGTTGAAGGAATGAAAATTATGTGTTTTAAGTTCGCCTGTCGTGGGTATTAGGTGCGGCTCTTGGAGGGGCCTGAGTGGAGCTGAGCTGTTCGGTGTTCGTACCACCGTGTATGCAAGCTTCATCGCCAACGAGGTTTTTCTGTTCTGCACAGGGTAACCGCTTGGCCCTTGCTTCTAGGGAGCCCCCACAGAGCGTCTTTTGCGTTCTCCCAACAGTTGGCCCCCAGGCCGTGGCAGCAACCGCAGTACGAGCACCGGATGCCTTTCCAGTTTCAGAAAGACAAGACACTGAATGACACTCTAGGGTTATCACCTCACAGCTCATCAAGAAGCATGTATGTGTCGCCAGGCGAGTTGCGTGTGCCCGTCGGTCACGACAGGCCACCGCCCAACAATGCAGCGGTTTTCAGCGC